TAGGGCACCTAAATGTGTCTTTTCAGATTCGGTGATGGCTAGGTCTATGATCACTGAAGCGCTTCAAATTACATCAGGACGAAAAGGGGAAGGAGGTACATGGGAAATGAAAAAAGAAAGAAAATGATATTCATTCTTCCCTCTTATCTACCTTTTACATCAGGGCTTGTAGATCTTAGAGCTTAGAATAGATAATGAGCTCAGGTCCCTTTCTGCCACATCCTGCCAAGAGCCACGAGTCATGTCTGTCAGGAGTCTTCTTATAGAAGACCTGTCTAATACTGAACGTGCAAACAGTCTCCTTTTTCCTCGCGTCAGCCTGGAGAGCTGTGTTTCATCACCACACGGCGTGTCCGGCTTTGTGAAGCGGGACATGTCCTGGGTTCAAGTGCTGCACTCCTGTGGTCGAGCAGGTCAATATATCATTAAGTGCCACAAATACAGCACACACACACACACACACACACACACACACTCACAAACCCCCCGTCAATCACAGACACAATCACATGGGAGCACTTAAACACACACACACGGTCGGCAAAAGCCAAGGTCAGTGGGGGTCAACAGGTCATTAATGTTGGGGGAGGGGGGGGGGGGTGTGGTGCCACAGTCTCATGAACACATCAGAGGAAATCCGAGAGACCATTAAATGTTGGTTTTTATGGGTGTGATAATCCCTCTCATCTGCCCAGGACTCCAGCTCCAGATTAGGACAGATCTGTGACCTGAGCCACGCCATCAGCTAAAGTAGGACCACCACTTTATGAGCTGTTCGCTCCGTAACACGAGCACAGAAAGCTCAGTAAACACACGTTTTAGATGTTCTAGAGCTGACCCGCTGCTCCATCCTGGTTACATTTCTGGTATTTTTACAAATACATTTAAACTAGGTTTTATTTAAGTCTGTTATTACAATCAGATCTCTAGATATCATTTATTTTTATTTTTATTTATCTCAGACAATCTGACAGAGTGCCTGAATCTTTTTTTCTGTTCACAAAGACTGAACTCATGACTGGCATTTAGAAACCTAGCATTAGCTTAGAATATTCTTCATGTCTGCAAGCAGGGGATGATGGAAAAATTCCAGTTTGCTAAAATAAAAACTGAGTAGCATTAACTGCTGAGTAAAAATGTGCACTTTGCTTTAGTTTAGGCGTTAGATTACATAACACGTATTATGTAAATGGTTCACGTTTCCCGTGTCCTTGCAAACATTCCAGGGAAAGAGAAAATAACAGCTTTGGTTTTTAGGTTCAATCCTCTTCACTCTTGCAGTCCTCATTACAGGACTGCTGTTGTAGCCGCCGGCTGGTGAACAGCATAAATGCTCTTGTTACGATGCTACGTACTGCTGGGAAACCTTGAGTACCGGTTTAACCAAGTGTGGGGTTTACGTTTCCATGTGCAGCATAATTGAATGCTGATACCGCCTCATTTGGGTCCGCTTGAACAGCCTGTGAATCCTAACAAAAAGCCTGAGACACTGAACCAGCAGAGACCTAAAGGAGGAGACTTTCATCATGTCAGGATGCAGCAGGTCTTGCTTTAAAAATGTCGATCCATGTCAACATTATTCTGAATTCCTTAAAGACACAAAGCTGAAAGCTGAAAAGATGCCAGTGTCATTTTGGATTGTGTTTCTGTAAAAACGTTATCAATCACTATCTTACTTTTTTTAATCTCATTAATGATTTTTGCATTTCTGGGTTGATGCTAGCTAGCTAAAGGCTAGTCTAAGGTTAGCCAAGTCCAAAGTGTGTTGCTGTTGTCTTAAAAATGGCTCCAACCACCTAAAAGTCATGCAGTTTGATTTAACCCGTAAACTGGCAGGTGAACCACCAAATAAAGCCTATCAAATAGTTACAAAAAGTATGCAGATGTTTGAAGACTGAGTTAACTTAGAAATAGTTTTTTACTTGTTGTTTTTTTTTTTAGATTTTATCTGTCACTCTTAACCATGCAGGCTAAATGTGAAAATAGTCTTCTACCCCTATCCCTTCTTTAGCTGCTGCTGTTGTTTTAGCGTCCAGGAGACAGCCGAGCACATCTCAGCTAGTAGAAGCTAACCGTTAGCGTTAGCAGCACCACCACATGGCAGAACTCCTTCAGGCTTTAGTCATTTGTGGAGATAAAACATCATTGTTGCAGAGTCAGTGGCAGAGTTGTGTTGCTGTTATCTAGTCAGAGGAGAGATGCCATCTGCTCACCTCTCATCTAGCTCACTTCTAGCTCCTGATACAGGAGCGCCAGAGCTTTTTTTCTCACAGAGATCAATTGAAGGCTTTCATACTAGAGACCAGTGCAAATGTGTCAGAAAACTAGGTCTTTAAATGATAGCTCATATTTCCCTGTGGGTGCATGAAAGGTTAATACAGCCTTAGATTTAACATTATATCTTCTTTACGTGGATTCTGTCTTTATGATGGAAGCATTACAACCACCTGCAGCAAAATGTAGCACTAATCAGGGGTTATGTTGGGCGAGATCGTAATGTTTCTGCAGAAAAGCGTATTTCATTACAAGTGAAATCATTTTTGTGATTTTAGGATGACTTCAGCAAAACCTGAATGGGTCCAGATCCAAAGTGTGTTAGGTAACAGCTGTTCATGTGAACAACTATAAACGCTTTCTTCACCAGCATGTTAGTCACTTTATACGTCTACACCAGCTGGACGGGACCCCCAGATGCGTACCTTTTGTTCCTGATTATATTTATGCATTTACACAACCACACAACTCCACGTAAATAAATGTATGATGCAGCTTTGACTTTCACACATATTCATAAAATAACGCTGCCTTGTGCCAGCAGCCAAACATTGTAATGTGGATAGTTTTTTTCACCAAACAGGGCAGTCACAAAGCGATCTAGATAGTAAACTCTCTTGTGACGTGCTAGATGAGTGTGCATTTGAAATCTTGTGCATTGTACCTAAGAAACACAGTGAACCTGACCACTGTGCATCACGCAGCAGAGCTCATAAACCCACATCCAAACAGGTCGGGGTGACCTGCAGGTTCCACCACCACCACCAGAGCGCAGACGCAGCGCCGCGCCAAACTACGAAGCTGCCCAAAGTTTAGCAGCCATGGGAGAAACCATCCAAAGGAGTGCAGCCTGTTTACTATTAACTTTGCTACAATTACCCAAGCATATGTGTGTGTAATTAGATAAGGCAGCCAGTTGTTCTCTAATGCGGCAAATCAAATTAACTAAAGATGCCACATTGATTTCTTTGTGTTCCCTAAATTATTCATCTTCACTCGCTCTGAACCAGTCAGCAAACCACCAAGGAGCTTTTCGAACTCCACTGCACCTCTGCGCCCTCGCTCCTTACACTGATTGTTTTGCAAGAATTTCCCAAGTACCTTTGCAACATTTTTTTCTTCTTTTTTTTCCATCACGATTTAACTAATTGACCTTCTCAGAAAAAGAGCATTTGCAGTGTTGTGGAAATACAGAATTCCCATTGAACGAGGCAGCTCTGACCTCCATTACCACCATCGTGTGTTTGTATTTGAGATGGAGCAGGAAGAAGACTTGCCCGTGCGACGGCGTGCACGACAGCGCTGTAGGAATTGACGAGGCACGCAGGCTGCCGACAACGACGTCTCAGGCTGACATCCTGTTCTCTGGCGTGTTGCGCTGGGGGAGATCAATATGACCTTACCTCCACCACTCGCTCCTTTGAAACTTAATTACTGATATTCAGCTACAAAGCCATCATAGTCCGGCTGTCAATATTCATTGGGGATCATTACGGGCCTAATAAAAGAGGTTATTTACGGGCTGCTCTGCTGACACCGGCCCAGGTCCAAGGATTCGGCTCAAGCCATCTCAATTTGCTTTGCCTCTCCCTCCCTCCATCTCCCAGAAGCACTGACCTGGAAAATAAAAATTGACAGCAGAGAAACTAACAGGAGAGAGAATGGAGGGCGGATTCTTCCGCCACGTCTTTTAATTCTCTCAGCCATGTTTGGAGGTTTTTCAGCTAGTGCCAAAAACATAAAACATACATATCCCCAAAATCCCAGACTAAATTTGAACCTTCTTGCCATCAACGCTGCATTCAGACCCACTAAGGAATGTTTCATAACATTTAGAGAAAGGCTTTTATTGTTCACTCCTTTGACTTTGTGTTTTCAAGGCCACTCAACTATAATTCAAGTTTCTCACACAGAAAGTAATTTAGTCTGCACCAGAAGCATGCAGCTGCAGGGCTCCCAGTCCTGACATTGTACAGCAACAAAGAGCCGCGTGATTGTTGGAGATTGTTATATGTTAATTCACTCAATAAATCAATAGCTTCACTGTAATTGAAAGGGTTGGCTGTTTGGCGCGACATGTTGAAAAGTGAAAGGTGGAACAGTGTACTCTGTAGACTGGATGAGGTACTGCATCCAGAAAAAAATATGATTTTTCATCTTCAGTCTCATGCACCGAAAATCCTGTCTTGATTAATACGGTCCACTTTACATCAGTGCAAGGGATGCCAGCGTTTGCTGTGATGCCTTCCCTGAGCAATTAGCGAAGGGGCTCCACCAGCATTGGATTATCCACAGCAAAATGCCTCCTGACGCGAGGCCTAAAGCCTGCTGACTTATTCATACGTGTTTACTTTAAAACCCTCTGCCCTGCTTTTAAAGCTCAGGCTGCCACAGAACTGCAATAAGATCGACATCTGGTTGGAGAGGAGAAGGCAGAGGAGACATAATACGCCCACACAATGGGGGCTGGATGGAGGACGAGAAGAAAAAGAAGAAGAAGAAGCTGGAGAAAGTGACATGTAACTTGTATCAGTGTCTGCACACAGCTGGATCTGATTCTAGACCGCCTAGGTTTGGACTAAACCCTTTTCTATCCAAAGCAGAAGCTGTGACTCCCGGCATCTGTTCTTAAGTGCCTCAGAGCTTTGAATGAATGTCAAAGCATGAATAATTAAATGTACAGTCAGAATCGTATTTAAGTGTCTTAATCTCTTCCTTATCTGCAGGGATCCCAACAAACCAGTTCCCCAAGACACCAAGTTTATCCACACCAAGGCCAACCGCTTTGAAGAGGTGGCCTGGTCCAAGTACAACCCCCAGGAGCAGCTGTACCTGCACATCGGCCTGAAGCCGCGGGTGCGTGACCACTACCGGGCCACCAAAGTGGCCTTCTGGAAACACTTAGTGCCCCACCTGTACAACCTCCACGACATGTTTCACTACACTTCCACCACCACCAAAGTGCCACCGCCAGAGACCACGCAGAACAGCCTGTCCACCAAGAGGCCCAACGGGAAGAGTTGGCCGTTCAACACAAAACGTCCACCCATGTCGCCGGCCTACAACAACGAGGACAACGAGTCTTGGAGCGAGGATGAGGAGTCGGGGCCGCTGCTGGTGGAGAACCCGCGGGATTATTCCACCGAGCTCAGCGTCACCATCGCAGTGGGAGCCTCGCTGCTGTTTCTCAACGTCCTGGCTTTTGCGGCTCTCTACTACCGTAAAGATAAGCGGCGGCAAGACTCCGGCCACGGGCAGCCCAGCCCGCAGCGGCAGACCACCTCCAACGACATTGGCCACCATGCGCCTGAGGAGGAGATCATGTCCCTGCAGATGAACCAGACACACCACGAGTGTGAAGCGTCAAACAGCAACGAGGGCGCGCTCCGCCTGGCCTCGTTACCCGACTACACGCTCACTCTGCGCCGCTCCCCAGACGACATCCCCCTCATGACCCCCAACACCATCACCATGATCCCCAACTCCCTGGTGGGCATGCCCAACCTTCACCCGTACAACACCTTCACGACTGGCTTCAACTCTACTGGCCTGCCGCACTCCCACTCCACCACCCGCGTATAGCTTTAAGGAGACCAGGGGGCAAAGGGAGGAGGAGGCGGCGGCGGCGGAGAAGGAGGATGACGACGAACGCATGGTAGGAGAGGATTGTGTTTTATAAATATCACATGCAAACGGGTGGAGGGGGCAGAGGAGACGAAGGGAAGGGGTGAGATTAAAACGTGCAGAGATTCAACCAGACTTTTACTACGAGGAGAGTCGCTTAGAGCTCTCTGTGGATGTCACGATGTGCAGAGCTGCCAAAATCAAACAGTTTCCTTTCTCCTGACAAGAGAAGGTGGTCTTTCTGCAGTGGTTTTTTTTTCCTTTTTCTAAAATAATCATTTTAAAAGCCTTTTTAAACAGACTGAGGAAATACCAACACCTTTTTTCTTGAATTCATAATAAAACAAACAAAAAAAGAAGTGCTTTTTATGATTTCCCATCCCGTCCTCCTGCGGGAGACACATCCAGAACAATGGCCTCTGCGTCGATTTTCGCAAAATGTTTTTAATTGCTTCAATGTTTTGTTTTGCGTTTCTATGCCTTACTGAGCTTTTTTCTTTCTACATTTCTTTTTGGTCATTATTTCTGCTCCCTGATGCAGTTCTGTGTGGAGTGTGTTACAAGCAGATAAGACTCAGATGAGAGACTGAATCCAGGACGGGAATCTAGAGGACACGCAGATGGAGAGATTCTAAAACACTTTTTGGGGGGAATTTATTATATATATATTTTTTGGTTGTATTCTTTTGTTTACTTCTTTTTGTTGCGTACCAACACAACAGCCACACAGATGATGTTATCTTTTTCACCTGCGTAGATGATTTGTGTGGGACAGCTCTTGTCGTGAGATGAGAAGGCAGAGATGAACACTATGTTACTGTGATTGTTTTAAGGGGAAAAAAGTGCATCTTTTACAGCCAATTTTATCCGTTAAGCTAGCTGATAGTATCGCCACAAAGTGTGCACGCACACACGCTGCTACGAGCAACCGTGTGTCGGTGTGAAAAGGTTTTCTGATGTGCTGCGTGTGAGCGTGGACCGGGTGAGATTCAAATGATGGTGTGTATGAGGGTGTGTGTGTGTGTGTGTGTGTGTGTGTGTGTGTGTGTGTGTGTGTGTGTGTGCACTAGTTTCGTTTTGTTTGTTTTACATTTTGTTGTTATATATTGGGGACATTGTTTGTGCGGGGTGGGGGGTGAGTCCTTTGTCACGATGCTGATCCAACACCAGTCGTGTTTCTGCTGCGTCTCTGGGTGTCTGTCCTTTGCAACATAGCACTTTTTGTTACTTTACAGGTTCTATGTGTCTACTTTGTTTTGCTTAAAATACAAAATAAATATATTATTTTACGTGTAAGAGAGAGAAAGAGAAATCTAGCTAAAGATTCAACTGAACTAACTGACATGATTCCATTGACTTTGGGAGAGTTTCCTCTTCAAACAGTGGCCTGTTTGCACTGACTAAACCTGCATCGGTGCACACTTGTATTTCTTTAAATATATATATATATATAAATATGGGTATACATACATATATGTATAGGGCTTCTATGGAGATATCAATGCCACAGAAACACAAAATCAGGCACCATTCAGAACAAAAATGCCAATATTTCCCCACGTTTTGCTGATCTTTGAGACAAGCCAAGAACACCTGCAGTGTCTTTGTACGAGCTCTATATGTGTATTTATGTATAAAATATTTAATATTTATTTATGTATACCAGATGCATACATGCTGATTGTGCCATGTGCCAAATTAAAACTGTAAAAAAAATGGAGAATATAAAGTTTCACTAAACTTTTGCTTTCTTGATCAAAGTTCTTTATTTTCCTCTTATGTCTTATTATTTCCATTTTGAACGAGTTAAGGAGTTGCAGCAAGTGCAAGGCTTCCTCTCCCCCTGCAGGTCTTCCTCTCTGCTCCCCCCCCCCCCCCCCCCCCCCCCCCCCCTTCATCTTGCTGAAACCTTGAGGAAAAGCTGGCAAACAGCTTGGGGCCTATCTGCGTGCAAAACTCCAGATTTTACTGTAATTCATGCAAAGTAGTGCTGCAGCGGTGGGAGATGGTGAAAAAGATTGCCTTGATGCACACACAGCGCATCCTATTATATGTTAATCTCGTGGAGAAAAGTGGAGTTATTGATTCTGCGAATAAAACTGACAATTTTCATTATGGTATCACGACGCAAAACAGATTGTCTCCGAGCTGCGGTAATGCGACCTGACCAGCAAGCCTACATCAACTTTGCAGTTCTTAGACTCTCCGAGACGTAGACTTCTTATGAAGTAGGCCATTAGAGCTTCCCCTTGGTGCGTAACGATCGGGAACGCAGCAGAGCAGCAGCACAGTCTGGCCAGCTTAGCACCGATCCTGCCAGCACCGGGACAAAAAAAAGGAAAATGGAAATCGTTTGAAGACTGATCTATATGACTCATCTTGTTTTATTCGTTTTCCTTTAGAAGGAGATCACCGCCAAATCAACGGCTGTAACAGTCCCACAGCAGCACAGAAGCAAGCTTTCCTCTGAAAGGCATCATAAGCAATAAAGTTTCATAAACTTAAACAAGTACACTACAAAAAAGGTTTTTCCCCCATCAAAGCGTAGCTAGAGTAACTATAGCAGGTTTCTAAAACACATGATGGTGAACGTCTACGGTTGGGAGAGCTGAGGTGGTTGCCGCCGCTTCAGACGACAGAAATGCTGGACAAAGCACTAAAATATGTTTAAACAGTGATGTTCAACTTTATCCAGTCCTGAGTCGAGTCCTAAACTTTCAAGTACGAGTCCTAAATAACTTCCACTCTTACCGTTTATTCAGAGTTATACGAAATGATTTCCAGATTTTGTGAATGTTTGTTTAAAATCTTTATTTTCAGAAACAGAAAAGCTGACGTTGCGTTTCCCCTTTAACAGCTTTTTACGTTCACATTCATGTTAAGGTCAGAGTTATGTCCCAGGTTGTTTTTTATTTAGTTCTTCAGTTTGACTTTAAAACCATCATCATAGTTATGTGACCTCTGACAACCAATAGAACAAATGATCCCTGCTGGGGGGGGGGGGTGTGACTTGTCCCCCCCTCTTTTTCCAAAGTCACGCTTTGACCCCTGCACATTTTACCATCCAACAACAATATTACGCTATATTAAATAGACACTGGTTGAGCTCTAGGGCCAAGCGCAAAACAACCATTTGTGTTGAAACCCGTTTCCCATTAGAAAATACTGTAAAGATACACCCCCCGGTACTCATGCCAGTTGTGCGCCCCCCCCCCCCCCCCCCCAAAAGTGAAACTACGTCCGTGCTGACGACCCCACTGTGGATCATGAAACAGTGACCCCAAGGTGAGAAAGCCGACAAGGTAAATTACCCTTAGAGATGAATACCAGCATTTAACCTAAAGCCTGATTTATGCTTCTCCGTCTGCGTCAGTGCGGAGACACGCAACGCCATTATCCGCCCTTGCGTCGGGCTCTGGCAGGCATGCAAGTACGTACGGAGTCGAGCCCACTTTTTTAAACATCATCGAACGAGACGGAGAACGCAAGCTTGTGATTGGTCAGGACGCCGCTGTTGTTTACAGCGCCGCCATTGCAAAGAGAGCCGAGGATAACTAGCGCCAGACACGGAGAAGCTTGAAGAATACCTCGCAAAAAAACTCTGAAAATATGAACGTTTAATTCTCCCGTGACTGCCGGAGTGAAAAGATGTGCAGCAAGTGTTTTATTTGTGGACGGAAATGACAGGAAACGTGGGTTTAGAGGTGGGGAGCGCATGAAGAGGTGGGAGAATGAGAGACAAATGTGTCCGTGTTAAAAGTCTCTTATATACACAAAAAACACAATATAAACACACTATCTTGGACCGATACATGACAGGATACCACAGAACAGCGCTACGCCCTCTGTTGTCCTGCCGGGCAATTGCTTTGCAACTCTCTCCAGGAGACGGAGAAGTATGAGAGCAAAACGCTTCCGTCAGTCCGTGCGTGTCTGTCCCTTGCGGAGCTGACGGAGAAGCATGAACCAGGCTTTAGACACGTGAAACATTTTTACTTGTTCTTCTTGACATAGGATCGATCACTCTGAGTTAACATGCAGCTTCAAAATAGTCTTCCACCCCTATTTCCAGACGCCGATGAAAACAAGACGGTGTAACATTTGGATTAGAAAAGCCTGTCAATTGCGCGTCACCTTGTCAAATTAACTTTCACGGACTTGTGCATTTTTGCTCGCGACGGGGAAGGTTGTTGGTGGTTTATCATCCAGGAAACAGCAGAGAACGTCTCGGCTAGTAGAAGCTAAATGTTAGCATTAGCAACTCCACCACACAGCAGTTCTCCTTCGGGCTTGTGTTGTTTGTGGAGATAAAACACCAACGTCGCCAACGGAGTCAGTGGAGTCGTGCTGCTGTTATCCAATCAGAAGCAAATATCAGTCCAAATCCTGCTCTTCTGCTCCCCGCTGCTCTGACTAACACATCTCCTGAAACTAGAGCGCGAGAGTTTTTCTTCTCACAGAGATGTATCCACAAGTCATTCAATTAGAGACCACTGCAAATGGGTCTGTTTCTAGCTGTAACCAAAATAAATAAAAAGACAAAAAGGATAAAGACATAAAGATTTTCTGCGGCCATTAAGGACTTGTTCACTGACCTAACTGGTCAAATAAATCTTGATAGTAACTAGTGTGGTGTAGTTAGTATTGAATAAATACCTGATTGTACACCATCAGTATTAGACCTAAAAAAGAGGAAGAGACAGAGAACAAGGGGTGAGCTCATGGGTGGAGGAAACTGTTCCAGGCACTGCTTGACGTGCATCATAGGCCATCTTTGGTCATGAGAACAGCCATGAACAACCACAGACCACAGATTCAAGCTCACGGCCATTTCTCTCATTCTCAATCACAATAAAGCATTTTGTCCAAGGCAGCCCAGAATCACACATTGTCAACTCAACTCAGATGTTTGTTTTTTATCAGCCACCATTAGCTGAGGTCAAAAGTCTGCATATTTTGTGTTGTGGGTCAAAAGCCTCAAAGTATTGGTAAAGACATTTTTCATGAGGCCTAACCTGATGGTTGGCTGGAGGAAATGCTACTTTTGTCCAGTAAGCTGAAAGCCCCACCTGTAAAATGATTGTTCTTCGTAAATTGGACAAAACTATTCCATAGAAAGACGGTGGAGGTGGATTTCTGTGTGGCAGGAGGCCCTTTAGTACAGGCTGTAACACACATGTAGCCACATGGAACTAGATAACAGAATTGGAAGAAAAATCAAGGGACAGCAACTTGCTTTTTACTGTGTAATTTCCAGTATGCTGCTAAATCAGGGCAGATGCCACTGAGTGCATTTGTGGGGTTAGATGCCCTCCGAGACACAGTCTTAATGCACGTGCCCAAGATAACCACGTTCAGGAACCGGCGGTGCAGCAAGAGAAAATGAGGTCCGACTCATTCTGTAATCATATAACCTGGGAGTTTTCCAAAGAAACCAGCCCAAAAGTCCCGGGACGAGAATCACCGGGAGCAGGAGGAAAAATAGGACGTTCAGGAGCGAGACTCATTACAGCACAGTCAAGATTTGTTTGCAGCTCAGCGAGTGTGTTTCCAACGTGATATTATTCAAGGATGGGCTGGAATACCCTGATGGGAGTTTGTGATTGCCTCGACAGCACTGAAGACAAACCCGTTCTAGGAAATGGATGTGCCAAATTACACAGTGCCACCCGCTGGGAGAGAGCTGCAGGTGTGTGGGTTTCTTTTTCTGTTTTTTTTTTTTACTCTTATGTGTGAGAACATTGAAAATTGTTTTCACGCTGCAGAGAGTGTGTTGCTCCTGCCCCTTACCTCCAGCTCTTTCTCTCTCTCTCTTTCTCCTTCATCCCCTTCTTCTTCCCCTCCATCCAGCACTGGTTTTGTTGGACCTTTCACAGAAGGAGCGCCGCTTCCCGTTACTCAGGCTAAACTTGGCCACTTCCTTTAACTTGTACTTTCTTAAGTGCCATCATCTGAACTCCTGACTAATTTCCAGTCATTTCCAGTTTCATTATCTTGAGTTAGTATATTTCTCAGTGGACTGAGAGACTAATGAACGGTAGTCATTAAGAAACAAAGACGAGTCAAGTCAATGAACCATAACTTATGTGCTATTCAGCCTGCCTGTTTTTCTCTAAGGAAACAATAAAAACACACAATCAGTTTTGTCCAAACATTCATCATCCATGATTTCTTTTTTACAAAGTGCGCTCTTGACAGTTTTCTTCTTTTCAAAATGCTAGCTCGTTTTCCAAGTTTTCAAGGAGATTTATTTTATTTTATTTTTTGCATTTAGCATTGTAATCGACAACAAGGTCCAAATACACCATGATAAATCTGTTGTCTCGGTGTGCAAATGACTATAGATGCCTCTGCTGCTTCTATGTTCATGTCTGCAGAATGTTCACAGTCATGGAAACAGGAGCAGACTAAATAAAAAATACATACTTACATGTGTTTATATTCTTTCTGTTGTGTGCTTCTTGTGTACCACATGTAGAACATGACAAATACTGTCAAAACACTGAAACCTCAGGCTGAAATTTGATCTTTATGTTTCCAAAATACTAAAAAGGACGATTGAGAGCAGTTTGACTTCCAAAATTGTACAGTTTATGAAAAATGGACACATTTTATATTGATTTTAACAACAAGTTCATTGATTTTGACGTGACAACCTGACATGTCAAAACAACACAGATCCGATGAAGAACTGTGAAGACTAAAGCCTGATTCATGCTTCTCCGTCTGCGTCAGTGCGGAGACA